AGTTGCGTATTGTCCCTCTTCTACCGTTAATGCTTTGGTTTTTGTTATTCCGAACTTGTCTCGGCAGTTCCTCTTCCTGCAACTTTCACCCGTCCATCCCGTACAAAGGCATCTAGTCATCCTTATAAGATTTTTCCTCCCAGATGCCATACTTCTCTGCTCCAAGCTTCTGTCTTCCCCTGAACTGCGGAACACTCTCCCACTTTTTGTTTTTCCCCCGACTTATAACTTTACACTTTTTAAGCGCAGAACCAATAGACTGGATCTTACGTGAATGTTCCCATACTATCGCTTTTACAGTATGTTATTTGTCTATGGGGATTTACCCTTTTAGTGTAATTCACATTGCGTAATAAAAAACGTTGACAAATAACCGCACCTGCTGTATGCGTGCTGACACTTCATTTGTGACGCGTCCGTCAAGTGAGATATAGCTGCTGAGATGGCCAAATTTGTGTACTTCCTCTACTAATTCCCTAGTCAGGGATGGGCGAACGCAATCGTGTAGTAAAATTTCACACTTCGAAAGTGCAAAACGCATATCAAACAGATATACACTAGAACTCAGACTATCCAGAAAAGCCTGCAACTTACCCGGATCTTCACTTAGTAGGACAATGTCGTCTGTATACTTCAGATCAGACAGTCTACCACATGGGAGCAAATAGGTGCAACGATCACCACGTCAGGATAATGCTGTTTCACGAACTACATCTATCAGTTTGATCACCGATTCATGCCATTCAGTTGGAACCTCCCAAACTGAGTACAGGAGTTTCACTTATTCCCAAACCAAGGCTGTACCTTTATCCTTAAAATCAGATGGGGACAGCTCGTCCGGGCCGGAAGCATTATACCTTCAGAGATAATTTAATTCCCCGGTAGCCATTTTAGATGCAGGACTGGTGTACACGGGCAGTATTTGCTCAGTTTAAGGTGGTAGTGGTGGCGCAGTGGTTTAGTCGCTGTCATCGGTATGCTTTGGACCCTATGGTTCGAGCCCCGCCACCGCCACCCGACTTTGGTGGTAGGCAGCTCTGCTGTCGTCCGGTTCAATACCTCGTCTAACCTATCGGGGCCTTATGTGGTTTGTCCCGGGGCTTAGATTGCCGGTTTCCACCATTGAATAGCAGGTCCTCGTGACTATGGGGTTCGCCCTGTTTGTTGTTCATCACACTTAGGTGTGTAATAAAAAAAGGATAGGGAAGTCTTGTCGACGGGAGCCAGTTGAATTGCACCTCAACTGTTCTGCCCAACGTTTAAGACAGCAATGCGGATGATGAATCAGTGTACCGTCTGATTCCTTAATAACCTCACTTACGCTCACTTTCCTTGGGACTGTACCCCTAATTAAAAGTAAAAGATTCCGACTATTGCCGATAGCCGCGGCCTTCTCCGTCTTTCGATACTTTCCTATCCTCCACTTCTCGCGATTATTCCTCGGACTCTTGGTGAGCTGACGTCTAAAGGATTTACGCGTTTTGTCGTATTTGGCATCAGAAGGAATAATTTTGTCAGCATCCAGCAGGGCAGCCGAAATCCATCTTTTGTGCTTTGATCGTGCGCTCGAATTCGCCGTTGTTTTCACTGACATTCAGATGACATCATTGATTACCGCCCTGTTTACTGAGTCCTTCGGCTGACAGTTGAGATGAAAGGTGATCAGATAGCTCTGCTTTGAAAGCCGATTTGCAGCCATCGCGAGCATCCGTTTCCGGTGGCTTTTCTGTTTGTTCACCAGGCTCGTAGCAAAGTGTAGTCCGTGTTCACAGGTGTTGACCAGTAGGAGCGACAGTCTTCAACAGATCCACGCCAGCGGTGGTTGCTGGTGATGTGGTCGATTTGAGTCCAGCGCTGTGAAGAGGTTGGCGACTTCCGTGTAAG